GGGGGAGGCTGATAAAGATTGGGGGTAGGAGATAGTAAAGTCCCTTCAAGCCATTCCTAAAATTATTTTGGCCACACATGGCATGCTGCTTTTCTCCAAAGGTCAAAGAGTATCATATACTTCAAGGTGGGAACAATTCATTTAAATAAAAATAGCAAAAATAAGTATAACAGACTTTCATCACAATCAGATTTTCCTACTAAACTTTCCCAAAACCAACATTTGAAGTACAGTGTGACAGTTCTAAATGAGATCAGTACATAATATAAAATACCCAAGTTCTCCTTTCTAATGCCTCCAATTTCTGAATACTGTTCATTGCTATAGTTTTCCCTTTATCCTTCTCGCTGTGCATTCATTAAATAGCAGCAGAGGAAACCAAAATACTAATCTAACCCAGTGTGTACAGCAGAGTATTTGTTACACTGCATTTTACTGAACACACCATGAATCTCCTCACATAAAAAAAAAGACACATAGTAAGCCACTAGTAACAAACCAAGAAATATAAATGAGCAATAGAAAGGAACAAATATATTTGGTATCTGCCTCTCCTCTAGCTAAAAGCTAAGTGCAATGAAGCTATACCTTCCCAAAATTCAGGATCCTATGTAAGTAAGACCTATAACTGATCAATACAGAGGCTTACTTTAAAATTTCCACCTTTGAGGTCTTTATTCAGAGAAAAAAGCAAAGTTGTTCAAAAGAAAAAAAGATTAGAATTATTGTTGTTTAGCTCACAAGCAAAATAAAGTGATTCTCTGCTCAAGCAATCAGGGAAAAAAACAAGTCCTTTATGGGTATCGATGAATGCACATCTGAATATGCATTTGACCAATCACGAACTTGATGAGACTCTTGGAAAATTACCCTGGCAGCACTGTCACCGCTGGCCTGCTTCTCAGATAACAAGGAAACAGACTGTGATTTAAACGTATGCTACCCATGATTTCAAAAACAAACTCAGACCCTGATAGCCATTGATATTTTAGTTATGAAATCAGATCACCAATATTAAATTATATTTGAATATTCAAGAATAATGAGCAAACCCTATCAATCATATCAAAAAATTACGGACCACATATTTTAGATCACAATCTGATGGTAAGCATATCAAAGTACCTGCAGAGAATTCAAGAATCCTGTGGCTTTTAGGCAATGCTTGTGATGAGCTTAACTCTGAAGGCTAGCTATGTAATTTTCAAAAATGTTAAACTCAAGCTATCTACAAGAAAATATCACACTGGTGAACTTCAAATGTGGGGCACAAACCTGACAAAAATAACAAGAAAAATATATAGGTCATAGTTCAACAAAATGCCAAAACCACTTCTTTCAGAGGAAATAGTAATAATTTCAAATAATTTGTTAGGTATTGCTTAGAACTATTTCTTTTTTTAATATTTATTTTTAGTTATAGGTGTACATAATATCTTTATTTTTATTTTCATGCAGTGCTGAGGATCGAACCCAAGGTCTTACGCATGGTAGGCAAGTGCTCCTCCTCTGAGCCACAACCCCAGCCCCTGCTAAGAACTATTTCTTAAGGAGAAAAGATGAAAGTACCTTCTTCATTTCATAAATATGAAAAGATCTGAACATTTTTTGTTATTCTTAGATAAAACACTGTATCACATTTCTTCTCTCTCTCTCTCTCTCTCTCTCTTTCTTTTCTTTCTTTCTTTCTCCCTTTGATACAGAATCTAGATATATTGCCCAGGCTGCCCTCAAACTCCTGGACTTAAGTGATCCTCCTTCCTCAGGCTCCCAAGTAGCTGGGATCATCCTCACACACCAGTGTCCCACCAAGGATAACCATACCTCAAAACTTATATTTGAGGACTGGGGTTGCAGCTCAATGGTCAAATACTTGCCCAGCATCCATGAGTCCCTGGGTTCAATGCCAAGCACCACAGGAAAAAAAATAATAATAATAATAATAATAAAAACATGTTTGTTCCTAATATCTACTTCTTGAACACTATAAATACAACTTGGGTACTCAACAAACTTTAAAAAGATATTGGCCCTTAAAACAGGCAGAAAAAGAACAGATACAGAAAGCAAGCAACAATCGACCTAAAAAATAAAACTTTTCATTAGCTTGGTCTATTTGCAGACAGCTAGAGTTTCCAAGTATTAAACCTGTCAATCTGGGCTGGGATTGTGGCTCAGCGGTAGAGCGCCGGCCTAGCACGGGCGGGACCCGGGTTCGATCCTCAGCACCACATTGTGTTGTGTCCATCTACACCAAAAAATAAATATTAAAAAAAAAAAACTTGTCAGTCACTGGAGTTTTTAGCTCTGTGTAGCATAGAAGCCTAAAGGGTTTTCTTATTCTATCATCAGCTATTAATACATTGATGAGGCATTTAGAATTTAAATTCTTTTGACAAACATCTGTTAAAGAAAACTCCACTGGTTGGCCATAGTAATGAAGCTCAAAGAAAATACAAAGCAATCAATTAAAATAAAATTGGGGGGCTGGGGTTGTGGTTCAGTGGTAGAGCACTCATCTAGCAGGTGTGAGGCACTGGGTTCGATCCTCAGCACAGCATAAAAAAAAATAAACAAAATGAAGGTATTGTGCCCATCTACAACTTTAAAAAAAATTAAACTTTGTCAAATATAAAAAAGAAAGAAAAGAAAATATGAAGCAAAACAAAAAATCCATCGAGTTCCTTCTATATAGAGCACTTTTTTTTTTTTAAGTTGGAGGTGGACACAATACCTTTATTTTATGTATGTGGCGCTGAGGTTTGAACCCAGGGCCTCACACACTCGAGAAGAGTGCTCTACCGATGAGCCACAGCCCCAGCCCCTACATAAAGCACTTTACCATTTCAAATAACTGGTATTTGGAATATTTTTAAGGTAAGGGAACTGAAAATATTCAAGAGGAATATATATGACAAGTGTAGATGGAACTGTATAACCAAAGGTACAGAAAGTAATTTGGTTAGAGAATAAAAGAAGAATACAAGTGGAAAGGTTTTTGAAAAAGAGCTGGGCATGGTGGTAGATGCGTGTAATCCCAGAGATAGGAGGATCCCAAGTTCAAGGCCAGCCTCAGCAACTTAGCAAAGCCCTAAGCAACTCAGTGAGACACTGTCTCAAAATAAAAAGTAAAAATGGATTGGGTATGTTGCTCAGTGATGAAGCACCCCTGGGTTCAATTCGTGGTACAAAAAAGAGAAAAGGTGGAAAGGTAGATTGGGCCATATTGTGCAAGAAATAACCTATAAGACACCTGGTACAAAACACTAGCATAATGTTGAATGAATTTTTGGCGAGTTCTGAAGATTAAAAACATTTATTTATAAACCCGAATACAATTATACAGGTGGGGGAATAAAGTTTTGAATAAAGTTTTATTAGAATCAGAAGACTAGTGTGCTGAACTTAGATCCAACAATGAATTTATTTTTAATAGTGGCAAAGATATAATGTACTTATTTTCCTGGGGATATGAATTATGCCTATCTTTACTTTAATTGTAAGTTTCTGGTAGAAAGCATTCTGAATTAGCACTTAGATTCCAAGGCTATCTGATGTTCAGCTATTATATCCATTTTTTTATCTGCCATTTATTGAGTGCTTACTGTGTCCAGATATTCTGTCATGTCCAATATATGGATGGTATTAATAAGAAACTAGCTTATAAAACCAAAAATTTTACAGCTGTCAAAGAATGTACCATCTTCAATTTACAGAAAAAGAAAACAAAGAATACGTGTTTCCCCTTAAAAAGGGTTAATTCTACATTAACAAAATTGGATGAGAATTACATAAAGGTTATGCATATCCTGCTTGATTAACAGGATCAAACCAACTAAAAAAATTTTCCAGGACTGAGAATACAACAAACAGTAATGAGCAACCGTACTGAGTACAGTATATCCTCAAGAGAGTATAAATCTACTATAATAATATCTAAGACACAAGACATAACCATTTCTTGCAATTTTCCCTAAAAACAGAAGGAACAAAATAGCAGCTGTGAAATCACCCAGAGTACTAAAAAAAGCTCAGCATCTCAAAAAAAAAAAAAAAAAAAAGGAAGAAAAAAATCTCCTAATCAGCAACACATGCCAAAAGACATCTCCATAGACTAGTCATTTATGGTAGGGTACAGTTAGAGAAACAACAGGATGACAGTCGCTATCATGTGGTCAGAAACCAATCCGTCAGCAATTTGTTTCACGTGAGATCACTTTCTCTCTCAAGAGAATCCCTGTTCCTGGGGAAAACGACCCTGTTTTGGCAAAACCTCCCCAGGAATAATGGCCTGGTGATGAATCTCAGAGGGGGAGCCTAGATCCAGTCTCTCCACAGGTACAGCGGCCCAGCAAGCATGAGGAAATATTTCCAAGCCGACAGATGCGCGAACTGAAAAAGGAGGTCACGATGCTCAGAGAATAGATTTAACCCTTTGCTCACTGGGAACCTGAAGACGAAGGGGGAAAGCATTGGATCCCGAGGGTTTGGAGATTTTTTTTTTTTTTTTTTTTTTTAATGATGCAGGTGTCTGTGGCGGGAAGGCTCAGATTCTGCCTGACTTCTCGAGACAGCCCATCGCTCCGCAGCTGCACCCAACACCTTCGCCGTCGGAAACACGCGATTCTCCGCACCTGGTTTCCTTCCACGGCTCCTACCCACCGTGCAATGACTGACAGGCCCGAGGGGACCGAGTTCCCCGGGGCAGAAACGCAGCCCAAGCCTAACTTTGAAACGCCGCCCCGGCACACCCCTGCCCCTTCCTCAGCAGCTCCCCGCCCGCCCCGCGCTCCTCGGGCCGCGTCCTGGCTCCAGCCCTCTGCGCTGGGGCGTGCGGACGAGGCCCCCCGGCGGTAGAGCCCGCGCCCCCAGCCCGGGGCCTGCTGGGGGCTGGAGACAAAGAGGCTGCGGTGCCGCCGCGGCCGCCAGGACCGTCCCCTCGGGGACAGCGCCGCGCCCCCGGACTCGCGCGCCGCCGCCGCCGTCTCGCCTCGCCTCACCGGTAGCTCCCGGGCCCGGGATCCCGCGCCTGCAGCTGCTACAGCCCGATGAACAATGGCAGGAGGCGGCGCCGGCGTCCGAGGCTCGGGTCCTCTGCGGCTCGCGGGCCCGCCGGTAGCTAGCTGGCTGGCTGGCTGACTAAACCCGCTGACGGAGGGAGGGAGGGAGCCAGCGAGCGAGCTAGCAGCCCCGGCGCGCGCCCTCCCGCCTTTCCTCCGCGAGGCGAGGCCGGCCTGTCCCGCAGCCCGCCCGCCCGCCCCTCCCCCTCGGTTCGCCACAACATTGTAGTAAACTTCTATTGGACCATGAGGGAGGGAAGGAGGGGGCCGGGCCCGCGGCCCGCCAGCCCATTGGCTGAAGCCGAGTTCGGCCTCCTCTGGCCTCCCCCCGCCCCTAAGCCGGTAAGGAGAGGGGAGGGGAAAGAAAAAAGGGGGGAAAAGGCGAGGGGGCTAGCTGCTGTGCGCACGCGCGAGTCGAACCCGGTCTGGTGTTCCGGGCTTCCAGCAGCACCCACGTGGGAAATGAGGCAGTTAGTATCCTGTACCAAGGTGAGGCCTTTTCCCCCTAGAGGAGGGCCATGTTAAAGGTCGAGATTCGGAGGTCCCAGTTAAAGCAGAACTCACTTAGAGACGCTGCCAGGCCACCTCAAGGAACTGCCCCCTAATGTACCTAGTAACCCTAGGTGAGACACTCAGCTTCTCGGGGCCTCAGTTTCCCCATCTACTAGCTTGACCTCTCCAGGCGCCTCTCCAACCCAGACATTCGACAACACTCTACCTCTCTTGGCAGCTAAGCTGAAATGGAAGCTAAATGTTGAGACCGCGCCAAGATTCCACTTCTGGTGCATTCAAGATTCATCTAATTTCACCCTGGCACCCTCAGAGTCATTAAGGAAAAAAACAAACAACAACAACAAAAAAGCTAGCTTCCAAGGTCTGGTTTCCAAATGAGTTTAGGGTTTCTCTGACAATTGCCTGGTGTGCATTTATTTCCCTCCAGAAGTTTTAGAGGCCCCTTGACCCTTCATACTCCTTGCCAGGCAGGTCTCTGAACAGGCTGCAGCTCCACAGCAGAAAGAAGGCTCTGTTTTAGGCATGATACCCAGGAGGTAAATAGGTTCTGGTATTTCATTTTAGAAATGAGGAAATTCAATCAGAGAGGCTTAGACCTCCCAGGATAAGAAACCAGGCAAACTGACATCAGAGCTACATCTGCCAGCTACACTGTCTCTTGGTGTCTAATCACAACCCCTTCACAATCTCTGCTCTCTCTGGAATCAGACTGCCTCTGTGCAATGCTAGGTCTCCAGCCCTCCCTAATTGTTTGGCCTTTTCTGTGCTTCAGTTTCTGACCCCCATAAAAGGGAGACAGTAATAGTTCCTGCCTCATAGTTATTGAAAGAACTCATTAAAAATATGTAAATGGTTTATAACATAGCATATAGTAAGATCTTAATAAGTGTTGTTTATTATTTGGCATCTAAAATATGGACTGTGTGAAACTGGATGATATAATAGTATATTTGTGCCAGGCACACACCTGTAGTCCCAGCAACTCAGGAGGCTGAAGAAAGTGGATCACAAATTCAAGGGCAGCCTGGGCAACTTAGTAAGAACTTGTCTCAAAATAAAAGGGGCTGGAGATGTAGTGGTAGAAAGCCCCAGGTTTCAATCTCTAGTACTGGAGGGTGGGGGGGACAGTATATTTGTTAAGCACAATTGTCAGCTCTGAGCTGAGCATATTAGATAATATCTATTTGAAACATCATAAAATTCCCTGAGGCCAGGTGCCATGCTGCACACCTGTAATCTCAGCAGGGAGGTTGAGGCAGAAGGATCACAAGTTCAAAGCCAGCCTCAGCAATGGTGAAGCACTAAGCAACTTAGTGAGACACTGTCTCTAAATAAAATACAAAAAAAGGTCTGTGGATGTGTCTCAGTGGTTAAGTACCCCTGAGTTCAATACCTGGTACCAAAAAAAAAAAAAAAAACTCCCTAAGGATCACCTGGCCACTGTACCTAAAAAAGCCTCCATTCACATACTCTTTTCCCCTTTCCCTGTTTTAATCATAGCACTTACCCCTACCTGATTTTCTACTCTTTATTGTCCCTCTCATATAAATTGTTGCAGTCTACACCCATGAGAATACAAGAGACGAGGATAGGGACTTTGTTCTTCTTGTTCATCTCCCAGAACAGTGCACACATAATAAATATTTGTTGAATGAGTGAATGAATTGTCCTCATCTTATAAGTAAGAAAATGGAGGCTTAGTAAGTTTAGGTGACTTTGGCTAGGATCATTCTGTGTACTTTGGGTGAAGCACCTGTTCTTAAACATTCTGATTCCCTGCTTCAAGTCTTCAGGTTCAACTATGCTTTGGATTTGGGAACTCTAGTCCTACCACTTCCAGGTTGCAGAGGCTTCCTTTACCTATCAGACAGGGAAATCTGGTTCCATGAAGGATGAATATTGAAGATCAGTCACCAGACAGCTCACAATTCCACCACCACATTATCAAGCAAATTCAGAGCTATGAAAGTATTCTCTGTGCTTTGAAGTGCTAGCCAATGGCATATCATATTTAAAGATACTTGTTTGGATTCATGGAATTTGTAGCATTTAATAATCATCACTCTGAAAATAAGCCGAGGTCTCAGGCTAACAGAAAAAGACTAGAAACAAGGCAGGTATAAATCACTCTTAGATTCAGAGTGCCCCAACACCAAGTTGGCCCAAGTTTTAGAATCTCAAAAGTCCTCGTTTGTGTGCTGACTCTTAATTCTTAACGTGGAGGTGAAATGGCTTTGTTAACTGTAAAGTACTATCCACAAATGAAGGACTTTTGTTATTAAATGCACATGTAGCTCAATGGTAGAGCACTTACCTAGCATGCATGAGGCCCTGGGTTATATCCCTAGCACCAAAAAAAAAAAAAAGTCTCCAGGTGTAGCTGGACCCATCCCATAGTAGGAAGTGGGGATATAAGTACCACCCAATCTAAAAGCAGAGAAACCACAATTACTCCTGTGCCCATCTGCCAAGCCACACATTCAGTCCCAGCTCACTCACCCTGCAGAGACTGCCATTGGGTATCAAAGGTAAAGGTCCCAAGCACCATCTCTGAGGCTAATTTTCTAGGAAGAAACAGCTTGGCTCCCTGCTCACATCTGGGTGACGACTGTGCCATGCTCCAGGGCCCAGGATGAGATCTCTAGGGGCCAGCTCTATTCCGCCTGCCAGCTGAGCCCACCACTCCCTCCCCCACCACTCCTCCTGTTCCTTCCTAGGGAATACAGGCCCTGATAGCTGCCTGTTAGCCCCTGGAGTGGTCAAGGGCACTAAGAAAAAAAAAACCAAGACAGCATGAAAGGGTCTTAATCCTTCCCTACTGCAAACTGAGCTCCAGCAACAGCAAACACCAGCTGCAGGGAAAAGGGTGAAATTAGCTGGTGAAATTAAGTGGGGAGGGACAGGAAGGGTAGATGAGGCCTCTGATGGCCTGGACAAGATGAGATTGGAAGAGGGCAAAGGGTGGGGGAACAGTTAGAGCCTGAACCATACCCAAATCTGGGACATGGGCGGATTAGGGACACAGCTGGCCCGAAGCCCCAGTGATGGGGCCCATGGAAAATGTTTGTCTGTTGTGGAGGGCAGTGAGAGATGAAGAGGGCTTTGAAAAACTGGGTCCATCAGCAAAGTGTTCTGAACAGTCACTTCTGAATAAAAAGCAGTCCTGGTATCGAAAGTACATGAAGAATAGCTTTCCATCCTCCCTGTGGTCATAGAGTTGCAGTCATTTAGACCTTGTAAACACAAATGATAAATCAAAAAAGCTCTAACAGGATGGAAATTACAGTTCATAGAGTGGAATGCCTTTCTGGGGATAGTTTTATTAGGAGTACCTGAGTTATAGAAATTTTAGAAAATATAGTTAAGTAAGAATACAGTTAAGGAGAGCTAGGTGCAGTGGCACATGCCTGTAATCCCAGCAACTTGGGAGGCTGAAGCAGGAGGATCACAAGTTCAAGGCCAGCCTCAGCAATCTATCGAGGCCTTAAGCAATTTAGTGAGACCTGTCTCAAAATAAAAAAATAAAAAGGTCTGGGAATATAATTATGTAGCTCAGTGGTAAAGTGTCCCTGTAATCCCCCTCCCCCCCCACAAAAAAAAAGAATATATTTAAAGAAAAATGCGAATCATCATAAAGCCACCAATTAGAAGTAACTATAATCAGTATTTTGATGACAGACTTTCTTTTCTAAATCAAATGAAATGAAATTGCTGATTTTCTAGTTAATAATAGTCCAATATCAGCAATTTCATATCTAACCTAATGTTTTATTTTTTTTTAATTCAGACCACATTGTTTGGAACTGACTTCTTTCTCTTGATATACTGTGAACATTTATATCATCATTTTTAAGAATGCTATCGAGTGGGTGTTCCATAATTTAGTTGATCCTTATTGTTGGACAGTTAGGTTGTTTCCCATTTTTATCTCTTATAAATGATACTCAACAAACATCTTTTACCTGAATCATACCCATGATTTTTTTTATAATGCATTGAATGTGCCATGTTTTGTTTTATTTATTTACTTACTTACTTACTTACTTATTTGGTACCAGAGATTGAACCCAGAGGCATTCAACTTCTGAGCTACATCCCCAGTCCTTTTTTATATTTTATTTAGACACAAATATAGATAAAATATATATTTTATATTTTATTAATTTTTATATTTTTTTAGTTGCTAACAATCCATTAAGCCTTGAGATTTAGAGACAAGGTCTCGCTGAGTTGCTTAGGGCCTTGATAAGTTGCCAAAGCCAACTTTGAACACTTTTTTTTTTTTTTTAAGGTGTAGATGGACACAACACAATGCCTTTATTTTTATGTGGTGCTGAAGATTCCGGGTCCCGCCCTAGACAAGCGTTCTACCGCTGAGCCACAATCCCAGCCCAACTTTGAACTCTTGATCCTCCTGCCTCAGCCTCCAGAGCTCCTGAGATTACATCATGCACCACCATACCAGGCTATTTTTTTTTTTTTAATTAAAGTGCACAATGCTGCCTGTTTTGGTCA